TTTTTATACACAGATGCGAGCGCATATGCCGTCGGAGCGGTGTTAGCACAAAAGGATGAGCAAGGGAAAGAAGTTGTCATTGCATATATAAGTGCTAAGTTAACCCCCACACAGGCACGATGGCCGACAGTGGAACGGGAAGCTTTTTCAATAGTCTTCGCGCTGCAGAGAAGCCGGCATTATTTAGCGGGAAGCCAGTTCACAATAATTTCCGATCATTTACCGTTGAAATATTTGCTAACATCGCCACAGCTGCAGAATGCCAAACTTTTGCGATGGGCACTGATAATAAGTGAATACAGTCCAACAATCGTGTATCGGAAGGGCACCGAAAATGCAAACGCTGATTTATTATCAAGATTAACTACAGCACAAGCAACGGACGGCGGCGAGAACGAGGACGACAGGGAAATCGCGCAGCTGGAACAGGAGGAAGGCGCTTTTGCGCAGAGCTCGAGCATCAACGCAGTCATCGAAGCGCACAGACCAGCAGCACGCCAGGGAGACGCCAGCATACCCAATAAACCACAGGATCTCGAGCCAGCTAACAACGCACAGGGAAGCGAGGGGAGTTCTGCAGGTATGCAACACAATACGCACCTAACACACATAGCGTCACCGGACGCTACAGAAGCCAGCAAGGAGGATCAGGAAGGAATACGACGGACGCCTGCAGCGACATCTACAGGGGAAAGGAGCTGCATGGAGGAAAGGGATTCGGTAGGGATCATTACAACGCCACAAGACGACGTGGAGGTAGCTACCAAAGATAGGCCAAGCGAGACCAGCCGGCAAGCGACAGTGCTGCCATCTTTAGCGGAGATCTTGGAGGAGCAATGTAGGGAGCCATTATTGTACAAGATACGTGTGGCATTGACATCACCTAATGCTACAATTAAGGATTTGAGCATGCTTACTAATTACATGATTTCCGACGACCTATTACAGCATATCACAGAGGCAACAGCGAACACGGAACCTAGCGTACAGTTAGTGGTACCACAGCACTACCAGACGGTAATAACGGCGTATCATCATGATGATATCTATAGTGCACATTTAGGCTTTGCGAAAACGTATGCGAAAATTAGGGAAAGATATTATTGGCCAAAGATGTATTCAACGATTAAAGGCATAATATTTCCATCGATTATGCAAAGTTGACGAATGCTACAGTAACTGGCACCTTGTGTAGTTAATGAAGTAGCTTACGGCTTATAAAACGCGTATAGTTTGTCCAATATCAACTGCTCCATTACTAAGATAATGTTAATTGAAATCGTAAATTTTGGTAATCTGGCGACAACGCGAAATTTATGCACAAAAATAAACATCGATTTCGGCTTCGGTGACCTCACATGTTGTTCCACGGATGTTGCGCATCGAATTGTTGTGCCGGGTAAATTGTTTGCCTAGTGAACGGCAGTCGTAAATGGCGGACGCGGGAAAGGTGGGTGTGCAAACGAAAACGAGCGCAAACGCAGAGTGGTATTTACCGAATCTGAGAAAGAAAAAGAAGCGTCACGTTCGCAAAAGTTTATTGGATTCTCAGAATAAATATCGCATGCTCAAATCGAGAGATGGATAGCAGCAAAGAAGGCCATTGATGTGAAAGTAGATGCCGGAGGTAGGCAGAACCACGCTGTTGGACATGTAAGGTTTGTGATCGAATACTAGGATAGGTTTATACCTTACTATACTTATACTACAGATTACAGAATACATAAAGAATACTACAGAATAAGGCGGCTATGTTTAGAAACTAATGCTATAACGTGTTTTGTGTGCTACTACTACTAGTACTAGGCATACTTGTGTTACTTGTTTAGGTATATGTCCCTTAGGTAATGGCTGTGGTTAGGTGAATGCCTGGTCGGCCTGAACCTAGCCTCTCGTGTACATTTGCCGCAGGCCGACTGTAACGCGGCTGCGGCAACGGTAGCTAGACCCAGCCGCACCCTAATCTACCACTTGTCAACGTATATCTACTATGTAGGATAGTAGGCAACGTAGTGAGGGCTGCCTGATGGGCTACCCAGAATCTCAAATAAACAGGTAAATTTCTGGGCCGCTGTTCTCATTTTCCAGGTAAATATTTCTATTTCTTAGCTAATATTTTGCAAGTTTATATAGTACGCACACAGTACCAAGCCTAAAGTGTGACAGGCCCTAACCCTATATTATGAGATCTAGTACTTGTTATGACTGGTCCTCATTTCATTTGCTCATTGGCCTCATGTAGTAAGCTTGTGAAGTATAGATATTCTCGGCTCAGGATAGAGAACATGGTCCCAATAAAACAAATGTGGCCTATACCGGTAAGCCGTAACCCTAATTCTAACGCTGACCCTTAAACCCACAATCCTAAACCGGCTATACCTAAACCCTAGACTATTATATTGATATAATATATATTTATATTGATGTATTATGACATTGGTTTTTATTGGGCCTGCATGTTCTCCTATCCTTCGAACGCGATATCTCAATAGACATATGTTGAGACGAAGGACGCAGTCTAGCGAATGGATGGCAGTGTGTGAAAATGGTGAACCAAGAGATCAAAATCCTATTTAAAATCAATGTAAAATAATTTCACGGGTGCTAAAGTTGCTAAATAAAATATAACAGTTCATGGTAAATAAAACGATGCTTTCAGGATACTCTAATTTCTAGCAGCGTATCAACAAGTCACTTTCCATAAAAATATGCAGTCTGACGCTAAAAAATAAATCGATTTTCTCGCTAACGTAAAAAGTACGACGCATTTCACAGACTCACGCTAAACCGCCATCGGGACTTCTAAGTTGTGCTAATGTATTCCTATAATGTCTATATATATATATATATATATATATATATGCCGTGGTAGGCCAATTATGCTTGATGTTGGCAACAATGTAATTAAAGCAAGTTGACTAGACTCCATGTTAGGCTGCATAATATTTTGTGTAAATTACTGTTGAGTGACGCTTTTTTGCATTGTCATGCTCGTAGTCTGCAGAGTTGATAATATTTCGGCTGTATATATATTGTATGCGTGTACTTATCTCTCTCTACATCAGTTTTTATATTTTGGTAATCATTACCATTGTTTATCAAATGTTCAGAATTCTATGAACGACAGTCAGCTTGTTGGCGTGCGTCAAGCAAGCTCTTTCAGGGAGTACTGACTTTCGACCCCCATGGGTGCCGGACAGTTGGGGCGGTTCGGCTGCTCACCGATGCACTGCGTCGAATGTAACTCATCATAGGNGAGACAAGTCACAAGCTCAATAGTGCGTGGAAAGCGTATTAGGCTCCCGGCATGGCTTCCCTCGTGGCTCCCGGCATGGCTTCAGTTCCGGTGCTCTCTGCGGCTCCTTTTGCGGGCCGGTTTGTGACTTCTTCTCGCGGTTGGTCCCAACGTAACCATGGATACGCCGCCCTCATGTTATCTACATGTGCGGTGACCTGCCGAAGCGTCGTCTCGTGTTGCAACAAAAATTTCTTAGGTGTTATTATTTTCGTTACCGTGGCGAGGGAAGCCACGCCTAGGAAGCGTGTAGCGGCAGGGGCCACGAGGAAGCAACCACCGAGACAGGCGACATTAGCGTATCCTACAGGGACCGACGCTTATGTCTCAAGTGACGATTCAGAGTCGGAGGAAGAAGCCATGCCGACAAGACAGAGGTCTTCATCCCAGAGTAGCTATAGCGACAGCGATCTCTTGCCGTTAGCGAGGTTAGTAGCACCGCAGTTGCAGTAAACATCTACGTCAAGCGCCCACTTCCAGACGCCCACTT